TACAGCATCCCTCAACAGCAGTAGAAGAATTTTAACATTTATAGAGTAAATAACTGAACTGAGGGCTCAGCTTCCCCACATGCTTTGTCCCCTCTAACCAAGACGAATGGGCAGTGATGGTCAGGAAGGGTCCATGACTACTGGAGACAAGCTACACACTCTTGTGGAACTGCTACAACTTTGGAAAAGACCTCACGGTGGGCTCAGTTTGGTGTTACTTTACTTGGCATCATCTGTGACTGTGTACTTACTGAAAATGAGGTGTTTTCTCATTCTGCTGGATGAGAACAACAATGAGAAGCCATGTCATGGTACATCATGGTAATGTTTCACACCACAAGATAAAAGTATCCTTCCACATTTATTTTCCAATTACTAAAGAGAGATCGGGGTTTGTCTGGCATTCAAATAATCACTCATCTTCAGAGAAAAACCCCCACAGACTAGGTAATCGTGACTAAGAGAAAGGGAGAACTTAAAAATACACACATACACAAAGACAAGAAACATGTCAACACCACTTTACCACTTTTGTATTTTATTGTGGAACTGAGTTTGATTCCTTTACATCAAATATCCTCAATGGAAGAGGGGATATTGCACACAAATATCATAAAAGCACTACATATTACTTTCACTGGAAACTAATTTTCTACATTAGATATGACTGGATAGAATAGAAGTGATGCAGGATTATAAGACATAATACCATACACAGCTGCAGACTGACACAAACACCATTCAGAACAAGAGAGAGGAGGTGTGTGAGGTGCTTCTCAGCCAGCCACAAGACTTTCTTTCCATAGTTTGGAAGATAATGGCTGCATGCAAATGCGTGAAAGCATATTTCAGATTTTGTCTTTTACACTGAGATTACAGCCCAGTCTTGAAGAGGTAGCTCCTGCCTTCTGGAGCGCTTAGTTAGCCTAGTAGAGAGAAGCTGTTTCTTAAATTTTTTTTCTTTCTTTCTATATTTTATGCCATTGTTTTATCTAGTTACTCTTTTTTTAGAATTTTTTTGTAAAGTCACAACAAACAAGAGTTTTTTCTTTTTTTTTTAAATTTTAAATAGCAAACATTTTTAAACCAGGTGAATTATATAATTGCATTCTAAGAAATGCTTACCTCTAGTTGATTTTAGTGTTTTGTTCAATTATTAAGTGAAAAGATGAAAGCTTTTCTTTCAAGTGTAAACATATTTTTTCATATTCTAGTAAATCCACACCAAGAAAATTACTATTTCTCTCAAAAACATCACTACTGAGCAAGAACCTCTGGCGACAGATGAACAAAGAGAAGCGCATGACAGAAATGTTCCAAATGCACAGCAAGTGCTCTTTGGAACTCATTTGCTTGTGTTGGGAGGGATTGAAAATTCAATTAACAAATTTATTAAATCTTAGTAAAAGAGTACCAGAACTCTCCTAAAATGCATAAGCTATCATAGACAATTAAAAAAACCTCAACATTCATATACACAGTTATCTCCATTCACCACAGTATGTAAAATAAGTAAAAAAAAAATCAAAAGTGATTTCTATGAAAGATGGGGTGAAAATAGAGGTCAATGAGTCAGGCCCACCACAGGACTTTGAAAAGGCATGCAAGAGAGGCCCTGTCGAAGTTCAAGAGTGGGATGGGATCCCCAAAGTTAATTCTTCATTGAATTATATGAAGCATTATATTAATAGCATAAAGATCATGACTGGGAATGCTGTTATGGGTAATACCATCATTGAAATGGAGTGTTCTTTGCACTCAGATATTGAATCTTTACAATTAGAGTAATCAATAACAAACCATGCTCCTAGAAATCTATGCTGATCAACAGCACTCATCGTTAATGTACACAGTACATTTTGATGACTGTTACACTAAACTAGTTGTGTAGTACTAGGATTAGCACAGGTAGATTAGATCCACAGGCAGGAAAGTCATTAAGGGCAAGAGGAGCCAATGGAGGAGCTCATTGCTGTGTTGAATCTAGGTGCCATTGCCATTTGGAAGGGAGTGGATGGAACAGGCATTACAATACCTCAGAAGTGCCAGACCATGGTTTTAATATTCTTGTAGCAGCAAAAAAAGCAAATGTACATGTAACTGTCTAATTATTATTATTATTTCAGAAGTAAACCAAATGTTTCAGCCATCATAAACTTGCTTGGGCATATTTAAGGCTTGATTCCAATTTAATTTACAGTAGGATCAGATGACTGTAACTTCCCTGACAGTAGTGAAATTGCTCCTGATTCACAGGAGTAAGTGGCATATGTGAGATTAGTCACAAAACCACTGCTGTACTTAAAACAAGTTTCTACCAGAGCAGAGATACAAACCATTTCAGGTGTTGTCAGAAAATCAGAAAATCTGTTCCCACCCACTCAAAATGTTTGAATTCTGAACTATATAATAAAATAGATAAATCAGAAAGAATTCTAGAAACAGTACAACTGTTCTGCCAAAATTTTTACAGAACATATCTGCAAAATTATACAACAGTCTGCAAAGATATCCCATATCTTTGTAGACTGTGTATTACAAAAGCATTTTAAGTGAATGATATGAGCCCAGCAAACATGCTTGTCTTCACAATACATTTCCATCTGCCTTTTGTGCCATAGTCACTCTGAGTTATTCTTAACGACTTAAAAGGTATAGCAATAAATAAAACAGGATTGCTAGAGAAACCTAAAAAAGAGAAGACATTAAAAATAAATCAAAACCCCAACCACTGACAAACAGAAATTCACAGCATTAAATGGGCAAGAGAAGCCCACATTTACAAGACCCTAAACCAGTATTAAAAACCCTCATAAAAATTAGGAGTGCAAACTTACACCTATTAAACAAAACTATCCTAACAATGTAAAATTGAAATAAATTATAGGTAGAGAAAATAAAATGAGGTCATAGTTCACTACATTGTAAAACTTAACAGCCATAATGGTGATTCATACAACCAGCACATAACTCCGTGCTGTATGCCTTCGCACCTTCTTAAATTCAGATTTGCAGACCTTCTGCCATACAACAAGACTTTTTAATTGGGGTAAAATTTCTGAGACTAAAAAATCCAAACTGTCTTAAATCACAAAGCAGTTGTGCTGTTCTTCTGCAAGCAGGCTTAGAGAAGGAAAAGAAGGGAGACATGAAGAAGGAAAGGAAAACAAGAAAAAAAGAATAGTAAAGGAAGAGGCAATGAGAGGAAGAGGAAAGGAAGTGAAAGAGTAAAAAAAAGAGGAAATGAGAGGAGGAGAGAGGAGTAAAGGAAAGAAAAGGAGGAAGGGAAAGAATAGAGGAAAGAGGAAAGCAAAGGGGAAGAGAAGGGAAAGGAAGTGAAGGAAAAGGGAAGAGAAAGGACTTTTAGCTTATTGCTTGTTCTATCCTCTTCCAAGATCTTGTGAGGGTTGAGAATGTAGGTTATAACCTTTAAGTTGATTGGACAATCAACTTCTCAAATCCCATTTTCTGTCACCATCAACAGAATAATTTTATGAGGGTATCCTTCCATATCCGTCTCCTGAAAAAGGTATTGACAGTTGACTGTTTTCAATAAATTTTACCTCAATATCAATTCTCACTAGAATCTTAAACAACACTACTCATTTATCTTACAAAACTACTAAAAAGAATGCCTTCACCTGAAAAATTTTTCTTTGCATTTACCTGTAAATGAAAATGTTTGTTACAAATCATGTATTAAAAGTTCATGCAGCACTAAAAGGAAAAGCTTCTGTACATTTGTTCCCATGTTCACTCTTTTGTGATTACACAAATAAAATCAGCTAAGACAAAGGAAGGCTGAATACTGTACAGGCTCACAGGTAACCTTTTCCATCATTCTGAATGTTTCACTAAGTTTTGTAACTCTGATACTAGACACCACTTCAATCTTGCTTCCACAGTACAAAAGGTGCCTTCACAAAAAAGCTCATCTTGCCTTGTTGAGCTGTCCAGGTGCATCTATGAAGTGTTCACATAACTGATATATGTAATTCATAGCACCAAACCATTTGACCAGTCAGATAAGTTCCTAATACCACACATGCACACTCGTGCTTCTTTACTGGTGTAACTATGATCCACAGTTGTTTTATAAATTTGCTGTCTCAGCATTAAAAAATAAGTGCATCAAGTTTCTTTGTACATTCAAGTCACTTTCTAAGGCAAATTGTCTACTGTATGTACTCCCGACCGCTTTGGTATTTTGCTTCATTTAATCGACAGTGGACATGGGTGTTCAAGCATGTGGACTGGTCAGTTCTGGCTGGAGTGAGTGGGCTTTCGCTGGAAGCATGCCTTAGACCAACAATTCTGCATGTTGTAAGGTTTTATACTTCTGGATGGGGTGCAGGCTATATGCATATTTGGCCTATGGTTGTTATGGTGTGTTAGTATGCAGAGTTCAAATTAAAGTGGAAAGCTGCTGATGAGTGATTAGGTCATACATCCCTTCCTAGCCATGTTCTCTTTCATTTTATGTTTGAGCTAACTTAATTCTTTAAAAAAAGGATCCCCATAGTGATAGCTCATATTGATAAAAATTTAAAACTTTCTTCTCATGTGAGAACATAAGCAGACTGTACTAAGCGATACATCTATTGCCATGAGACTAATGCAGACCTAATTATTTACTACTTTCTCCTCCTACCCCGCTCTCTCTTTCTCTCTTTGTGTTTCTTTAGAGGGCAAATGCCTCTACCTGGCAAAAGTCAATTGGGGTTGCTAGTGCATGGTTTCAAAACGTTCAGTGGAGATGCAACTGGATCTGTATTTTCGCAGTAATTTGTACTCTACTATGGGAAGACTGTTATTTTCCCTTAGCAACCAACAAAGACTGAAAAATATATTAGTGATTTGCATCACTGTGACACAGTATAGCATTTGGCAGGTATATAGTTCAGCAGTTGAAATAGATGACTTGAATTTTCAGGAAAGGTGTTTTTATACTGAAGAATTTCTGGAAACAAAGCTTAATCTTGTGATGCTCGGTCTTGATCTTACAGCTCAATCTTGCATGCAGGAAAAGACTCATCTTGCATAACAACAGTGCTGCTGCTTGCCAAAACCATGATGTTGAGATCCTGCTGTTTCTCATGGGTCTCTTGATACCATTCCCTCATCACTTCTGAGTCATGGGTTGGGATTAAAGTCACCTGCAATATGAAATAAAAGTCCTATTGAATGGACCACATAAACAGTTGATATGCAAAATGTCTTTTTAAGAAGCCCCAAAAAGTATATTTCCCTTTTGGAAAGAGTGAATTTTTATGCAATAAATACTTGAATAAATGGATGGATAAAAAGAAATCAACATGTAGGTAAGGCAGAATGACTGAAAATAAGGTTTATGAAAATAAAATGTGGGTTTTGTAAGGTGCTGTTATAAATAAACATGTAGTTCTTGGCTTTCACTATTATGTATTGGCTTTTGCAAATTATTGTTCATCATTGCGATTTTGATATAGTACAATTTGTAATCACTTTTAAGTGCATTTAATATAGTATAATTTCAGCTTTTTCTGGCCAGTGCCTTGGTCCCTGTGTAACTTGTATATTTTAGTGTGATAAACATAAATTATAGTTTAGGCTTTTGCAAAATATTAAAGTGGATGCTACGTGTTACTTTGGAGAAGTAACTGTAGTTGCGGAAAAATAATTAATGCCTTTACAGAAGTGAGAATAAGACATGAATTTGTGAAATAGGTAATGTTGATTTAAAATACTTGTGGAAATAGCTAAAATGGTCTGCATGGTCAGATAACATTTGAGGAACAGATGTAAAGACCCCTGCCACTGACCCTTTGACTATCAATCACTATTGCCTGCTGAAACCACAGAAGTGAGACACAACTCTCAAACTCACATCCATGATTACTGCACAGACTCTAAAAAGATGGGTCAGGGTTCGAACCAAGCTATAGAATCCCCAGAACATGTAAACAAGTTTAAAGAAATGTTTGAATGTGTTTAACCTTTACAAATATGTTTTTGACTAATGCAATGAAAAAGTACATAAGAAGACTTGCTATGATTAGCCAGTGTGCCTCTAGCTATGGCTATGCACCCATCACTGTTTACTGTCCCTTTTATCCCTCACTAAACTTTTAAAAATGTTGAAGAGTGGAGCTCGTTTCTCACAGTGCTGAGATGCAGCTTTCAAGAGAAGTATAATGTTGTAATCTGCACTGATAACTCTTCAGATTACAGACTGATATTTTGTTCACTTATTCATCATAATGGAAAGGCATTACATGCATTTTCACACATTTGGAAACATCAAGTTTCCAAATGCACGTAATTACTCTATAAAATGTGAAACATTTCTTCCCTCCTTAAAACTGCAACAATGCCAAACTCAGATCATATATGTGGTGCAGTAAAATTATGAGATGTCCAGCTGGCCCTATAAGCCAGCTCTCAGCTGTTTTATAAACCAGGAACTGGTCTGAACGGAGCACAGTACAGCTCTGTGCTTCACACATCGTCAGTAGTTTCACTGGTGCCCAGTCTGGGGGTCTGCTGGGGTTTAGGATTCTTCCTTTTGTTTCTTTCTCTCAAGGAATTTTCTCCCACACATGTTGGTAGGAGACAATAACGATGGGGTACTTAAGAGAGGCAAAAGAAGTTGCCATTCCTCAGGGGAAGAGTGCAGCTAGCTATTCTCTTTTTACCTGGGGGTTTAGCTGGGAAGGACAGAGATACTGGGAGAATTGGTCTGGGTGAAAGGTGTGTGCAGGTCCTCTTTCCTGTGATCATATTCTCCATTCCAAAGGAGGTTCCTGCCTTCCTTGGCAGACACCTGTCTTTCAAACCAAGACAGGGCCCCATTCTCTGGCATCTGCCATCCCTGCCAGAGGTGCTCTAGTTTCTCATAGCTGAGAAAGGTTAGATTTCCAGGTTGAGATGAAATGAAATAGAAATGAAGAGCCTACCTGCATGTTACTCTCCCACTGCGCCTTGCCCTCCAGCAGGGAGTCCAGAACAGCCCTACTTGGCTCCTCAGCCGCAGCATCATTCCCGCTCACCACATAGTAGGATGACCGCACCCTCTTGAAAAACTCAACATCAACATTCTTGCTGTTGCTGTGGTTGGGAATGTACACCATATCCAAATACACTGGAGGTCCTGGAGGCACTGCTGTAGATTTTGCCACCTTAGTATTCCCAGGTCCTTTGGAAACCAAACAGCAAAAGAATATATCACAGGCTGGTTAAAAGCATGCATTTATTAATTACTGTTATAACCACTGAAGTGAGATGTGACCAATTATGGAATTACCCTCCTACATATAACGACATGTTACAGCTTTGTTGTACCCCAATTATGATTGTAATGGAAGGAAAAACCTGAAAAACTGGAACTATATAATACAATAAAAAATCACTACCATATAACAAAAATTTGGCTGAACCTTTTCCAGTAATATACTACTATTATGCAACAATTACTATACAGGGCTGTGATTATTGAATTACCATTCAGTAAATGGTGCTATTATTTTCCTGATGAAGAAGTGCAGCTTTTTGAAAGTCTAGGGTATGACTGATTATAAAATCTAGTATCATACAGGAAGCCATGAAAATCTGAAGCTGTCCTGAAATCTGAGGTACACAGCAAGACATGATAGCAATTGATGTGCTCAGGCTGCCTTAGAGATGCATCAGAAAGCTACTACACATGAGCACCAAGAGGGTCAAGGAGGAACTTGGAAGGAGAAAGTTGCCAAGCAATTCAAGAAACAGAGTCAAGTATTTGTCTGCCTGCTGTATCCTGATTTGCATACACAAATTAGCCACTTATTGCAAAAAGTAGGGGGAAGCATTCCTTTGCTGCTGTACATAGTATATACAGTACTTGCTCTAAGAAGAAGAGCTTCAGTCAAAATCAAGTGCAACACGTAAACACATTAAAACTATCACACAAAAAATTACATCTTTTGTTCTAAAATCATGGTGCAAACTAAAAATCAGGCTTCAGCCAGTAATTTTACCCAGATGATCAACATTTATGGTTTTTTAGCTTTCTCATGTTGATTAAGCTTGGTAAACAATTATCTGAGCAATATGATAAATTTAGGGTTAAACAGCTGAAGTGCTGCAGAAATGCACAGCATGAATAACTACATTGCTGCTTTGAAATGTATATTCTGACAGACAAATGCAAATGAATGGTGTGAGAAGGGAACAGTGGACAACCAAAAACGGGAACATAAGGACAGTTGAATACTGGCTTGTTTGTGCTGAATCCTAGAACTGCTCCTTGTAAAGAAGCTTTCAACAGAACATCAGTCCTCACAGCAGAAAAATCAAAGTATCCCCCAAATAGTCCCCAACAAGGTCTGCTGGAAAGAACAGATCACTGCAATACCTCCTTCAGTAATCTAATTCACACTTTTTAGCTACTTAGAATGTATAACAGACATTCAAAATTACAATAACTTCCTGTATGTTTAGTCTTCAGTGATGGCATAAAACCAGATTATGTGATGTACGTGCCTACTTCACTCAAAATGCTTTTACTAATGTTAATTTTTTTTAAATGCTGCTTTTAAAATCAATCCAGCAAAGTAATAAGAGCATCCAAAGAGAGACAGTAACTTTGCCTCCCACAATATTAAATTGCATTAATTTATGTTAAAGAGAATTGTATCTACTTATTTCTCACAATGAATAAAGCTCCACCTTGCTACTGATTTTACTTCACCTACAAAAGTGGTACTTTCAGTTCTACTAGGTGGTTAACTGTTTAGAAGCTTGTATTAAATTCTTTCTATTTCATGTACTCTCTGGGCAAACTGACATCAATTGTCTTAGATTATAGAAGTAGAACTAGTGACTTTCATGCATTTAAATGCTGGATTTGTACTTAAAACCTGAACTTTCTTTGAGGATATGACACAAACCACACTCTCAGCTGATATAATGGCAAACTAACTACGCTGCAACAACTAAGCAAACAGGGCATTACTATTTGTCTTTACCTGTGGTTGCAGTCTTTGCCGACTTGGATGTTGTTGTATTTGCTGCATTCTTGGTATCCTTATCTTTCTCTTCCACTCGAGACTTCAGCTCTGGATTAGAGATATTTTTGGTTGCCTTCTCCACAGATTCCTTCTTTTTTGGAGAAGCTGTTCTGGAAATTTTGTCTAAAGATTCTTTTGTAGCTGGCTTTGGTGAAGCCACTTGTTTTGATTTACCATCACTTTTTTTAACAGGAGAAGATGACTTGGTCTTGGTACCCTGCTTTTTTGTCTTTGTCTTTTCTTTGAGGTCCTTCTTCAAAGGTTTACCTAAATTCTGTTCAACTGGCAGAGCCTCTGGATCAACCATGGTAACATCAGGGTGCCTGGGGGAAGGGCTGCGATCCTGCATTGGGACAGGTGGTGGGTCAATGTGTTTGTAGGTAATTGTCTTGTCCGTTGGAATGGTTTCTGACTCATCTTCTGAGTCAATGTTAGCATCTGCAGTGATGGAAGGGCACTCCTCAGTCTCCGGGGGAACATCCGAATCGGTCTGAGATGGGGCAGACTCGCTCACAGATGTGGGAGGAGTTTCATCACACTGCCGTGCTTGCGGCTTTCCCCCAGAAGGAGGCTGAGCTCCCCCAGATTGAGTTAGTGGCTTCTCTTGATCTTGAGACTGTTCTTCACTTGCAAACCACTCAAGGGGATTTGGGTTGATAAATGAAGGTGAAAGTTCAGTTTTGGGATGTTTATATTCACAAGAAGACACAAGGCATAAGTCAACATCTTGACGGGATTCTGCTAACAATTTACTTGGAGTAAAATGTGCACTTGCTTCATAGGAATAGCTGGTAGCTTCAGGTGACCTCCCAGGGGTAGCTCTCCCAGTTGTCTCAAACGAGTAATCTGTGGCTTCAGGTGAACTGGAGGCTTTCTCAGTTGTCTCATAAGAGTAAGTCATGGCCTCTGATGACCTGGTGGTTCTCCCAGTTGTCTCATAGCAGTAGCCAACAGCTTCTGGTGACTTAGAGGCTTTCCTTGTTGTCTCATAGGAATAATCCATAGTATCGGGTGACCTGGTAGCTTTCCCAGTTAACTCATAGGAATAATCTGTGGCTTCAGGTGATTTGGTGGTTTTCCCAGCTGTCTCATAGGAGTAATCTGTGGCCCCTGGTGACCTGGTGGTTTTCCCTGTTATCTGATAAGAATAATCTGTGACCTCAGATGACCCCATATTTTTTGCAATTATCTCGTATGAATAGTCTGTACCCTCGGGTGATCTAGTAGTGTTCCTGGTGATCTCATAGGAATAATCTGTGGTCTCAGGAGACCTAGTAGTTTTTCTGCTTGTCTCATAGGAATAATCCATGGCTTGAGGTGATCTAGTAGATTTTCCGACTGCCTCATAGGAATAGCTGATATTCTCTGGTGACCTTGTACTTTTCTCTCTGGCCTCATATGAATAACTAAGTTCTTCTGGTGACCTGCTGCTTTTCTCTGAATCTTCTTTATCTGGGCTGAGTAAAGGTTCTGGACTGTGCTTTGATAGGGGTTCCTGACAACCAAAGGCTTTGACAGAAGACACTTGTGACAGCAGAGGTGTGTGACTAGCTGACACTGCTTCTGTGATTGCAGGAGGTGAATCTGGAAAAGTAGGAGAATACAGGGGAGAAGATTCCCTTGGAGTTAGTGGAGACAGGTCAGATTTTGGTGACAGCTTTTCTCCCAGGCTCTGCACCTTTTCTGAGGTAAAAGAAGAATGCAGTGACATCTCTCTGGGTGTAACACCACCTGAAAAAGCTTCCTCTGGCAGTGGTGAAGCTACCTGGGAAGGTGTGTGAGCTGATGAAGTTGAGGATGAAGCTTCAATTTGAGAAACTGAAATAATTTCTGAAATATCTTTCTCTTGAGAGTAAGATGACTGTTCCACAGGTGAAATCTTCTGCGCAAAAGGAGACTCCTGTGTATCTGAAGGGCTATAATCTACTTCCGTTGGTCCGTTTTCAGAGATATGGTGTACACTAGTGCCTAGAGCAGGATATTCTGGAGACTGCCTACTAAAATCCATTGCTAAAGACTGCTCAGGTGACTCCTGACCATATTCTACTGACATAGCTGACTGCTCAGGAGATCTGTGATCAAGCACTGGTGTTCTTGATTTTGCAGTTTTAGGTGAGAAATCCGGTGGAGAAATTGACATAGGCCTTGGGCACTCTTCTTTAGATGGAGACATTTCTGTTTCCTGAAAAGTTGTTGGTGTTTGTACAACTGACACGGAAAGGGAATCATCAACTTCAGTAGAGTGGGGAGAACCAACCTCAGCGTGCAAGGAAGGAGATACATCATCAGTAGTTGGTTCTGGAAATGAACTAGTGGCAACAGATGCTGTAGAGACAGAAGCTACTCCTTCTATATGGGAATAGGTGTCTTCTGCAACAACCTCATCAACAGGAGTTGCAGACTTGTCAGAGACAGTGCCTTCAGAAATTGACATTTTAGTATCTTCTTTTAAAGAGCCAAACTGACTGATATCTATTTGAGTTGGTGAGAGATCACCTGCTAACTTCCGCTCATCCAAGACCAGTGAAGACTGGGAGCTGCTAGGTTCTGTATCCTCCATTTTCCTTTCCAGGCTGAAGCCTTCCTTAATTACCATAAACTCCATGCTTTTTTCATCTTGTTTTTCTTGGAAGAGGCCCACAGAGCTTGCTTCAGAAGCTGGGCTCATCTGAACAGGTGATTTTTCTTTTTCAGGTTTCCCCTCAGAAGGACTTCCATAGTCTCTGGTGGGAGACTTTAAATCAGCGCTCAAAAATGTATCGTAAGCGGTCTCTGAACCTATCAGTGGAGGACTCCGCAGAGGTGAGAGAACCTTTTCAATGGGAGATTCTGAATCTGGCACAGGCTCATCCATAGGGCTTATTCTGCATTTTGCAGACTCATCTTTGTCTTCACTGAACTCAAAGCTAACAGGGGCTTCTGTTGACTTTTCACTGGTTTCAGAGGGAAGCTGACTGGACTTTTCATCAGTGGGAGACTGATAATAAGGTGTGTGGCCAGCACTACCAGCAGCAGACTGTGATGGAGATGCTACTTCTAATGTTTTATCTTCAGGGCTCGTGCAGTGCTCTTCAGCAACTTCTTGGTGTACATCAGGCAATTTAGCAGTAGGGACAGACTCAGAAGGAGCCTTGATCTCATTGGGAGTGAGTGAAAAGTTCACTCTACGTTCACTCAGTGGTGTTTTGGCAACAGGCGATGGAGGGGACAAACTGTCAGCTGGACTCTTGGCTGAACTATGTTTTCCACCATCTTCTTGGTAGGGTTCTCTGATTTCTAATTTGTCAGTGCCTTGGATTTCACTTTCTCTTTGCCGGTATACATCTTGGAATGCAGATTTGCAGAATTTGTCTTCTTCTAATGAAGAGGGTGGTGAGATGGTGGAAGCTGAGGCATTATAATCCTTACCTTCTGTGGCCTCTGTCTTGGATCCTTCAGATAACCCATTAAAAGCATCTGGAAGTGGAGAAAGTTTAGCTCTGCTGAACTCTTGAGAGTAGAGTGATGTCTCATACTTGGTAATGTTCACATACTCCTGAGAGGGTGACTCGCTTTCCTCATTGTTAGTTTCATCACTCATAACATCTCGGGGTGTTGACATTTCATCCATTGGAGTTGGTTCACTGGATATTTCAATGGTGGACTGTGTGTAACCTGAAGTAGCAGTGAATTCCTCAGGTTGATCTTCTCTATTTTCTTCATCAGAAACAGTGGCTTCACTTTCTGAACCACCAGGCAGTGTCTCATCATGGATAGAAGAAGCTGGTTCAATCACAGGAGACTGAGACTCTGAGCGTTTGGTTGGTGTAATTATGAGTAGGCCATACTTATCCTCAGTTTCACCAGATTCTGCAGCTTTGTCTACCACAGCCATCACGTAATCTTCTTCAGCTTCTGTTTTTTCAGTTTCTTCTTCATCTCTGATGTCTTCTGCTTTGTCTTCCTCATCTTCTTCAGTCTCTTCAGTTTCTGCCTTTTCTATCGCTTCTTCCCTGTCTTCTTCAGCTCGTTCATCAGATGCCTCATAATCTGCCTTTTCAATATAATTTTCATCTTTAATGTTAGTATCTACTTGAGTCATTACTTTTTCTGAGCCACCTGGAATTTTTCTTGATTCTTCCACATATGGTTTTGTGGCATCCAGTTGTGTTTTTTCTACTTCATTTTCATCTCGTTCTTCAGCTTCTTCTGTTTCTGCCTTTTCTTCATAATCTGCTTCAGATGATTCTTCCAAGCCAGTTCCCTCATCTTCAAACTTTTCATTGTCATCAACCTTGTGTTTTCCCACAGGTTCCAATTCTTCAGGTGTCTGTTCACACTCACCCTCAGCCTCTGTGGTTGTTATGCCTTCATCAGATGACTCAGCAGGTCCTTCATTATCCAGTTTTTCTTTTTGTACTTCAAAGGTGTCTTTTTGTACTGTGCCAGTGAGCTTCAGATCATCCTTTATAAGTGCAACTTCAGATTTTGTTTCTTTTATTGTTTCTACTTCTTCAGCTTTTAATTCCTCAAAATCCTTTGTTAAATCCTCTGGTGAAGACATAAGGGATCTTTCTGCCTCAAGCTCCTTTCCACCGGCTGTAATTTCTGCAGCTGCTACAGTTGTGGCTCCAACTGCTGCAAGGGCAGCTTGTGCTCCACTGACTTTGAGGTCCTTCTTCACACTTTTAACTTTTCCTTTTTCCTTTGGCTTTCCAGCAGGTATTGCTTCTTTTTTAGCAGGTTCCTCCTTCTTTTGTGGTTTAGGCTTTGCTGCTGGCTTTTTGGCTTCATTTGAAGGAGTAGCTGTCTTCTTTGTTTCTTTAGGAACCTTCTTGATGTCCTTTTTGGCTTCTTTGTCTTCCTTCTTGATCTCCTTCTTCTCTTCTTTTTTAGCTTCTTTTTTAGCTTCTTTTGTTGAAGCTTCTTTCTTTATTTCCTTTTTAGCTTCCTTCTTGTCTTCCTTTTTCACCTCTTTCTTAACTTCTTTCTTGATCTCTTCTTTTTTTGGTTTTTCCTCTTTTTTGATGGGTGTTTTCTCTTCTCTTTTAGAAACCTCTTTCTTTGGTTTTTCTTTGTCCTCCTTCTTTTCTTCAGGTTTTGGTTTGACTTCCTTTTTCACTGTCTTCTCCTTCGACAGTTTTGGTTTTACATCTGTACTTTGTTTTTCAGGATTTTCAGATTTCACTAGTTGTTCTTCCTTACTTGCTATGTCTTTTTCCACCACTATTGGTTTGGTCTCTACTTTTGCTGGTTTTTCTTTTTTAACTGGAACTTTTTCTTTGCTTTCCAGCTTCTGAGGCTTTTCTGGTACTGGACTTGGCTTCACAGGCTCTGGTGTTTCTTCTTTAGATTCCTTTCTGACAGGCTTACTTGGTGGTGTCTTTGCAGCAGGCTTCAGACTCTCCTTGCTATCTGTTCGTTGTTTCAATTTCGCTTGTTTCACAGCTGGACTAGCAATGTTCCCAGTTAGGTCTTTTTGTGTAACCATTGGCTGTTTAAGGAAGTCTAAATGTTTGAGTTTTTCTAGTCCCTCTAGAATATTATACTGGGTGCTGTTTCCAGGAAACAGAACTCTGATTATTTTTTCTGCAGGATTAGCTGGATGCCACACAATCAGGGACGAGACAGAGGTGAAATAGGATAATGGAATGTCTAGCTCTTGGCCATTTGGTAGCAGGAATTCAGCTTTATCTTTGTTAGTACCACTCCACTGCTGCATAAAATATTGCATTTCTTTGCTATTTTTGACAGGATTAAGCACATACATCTCAAGTTTGCCAACTCCCATTTTCTGAAATAAAATTATAGGGTCAATGGTATTTCCTGTATTTCTGAAAAGAGGTTCTGGTTTCATAGACAATTTATTTAAATATTGGAGAGTAAAACAAGCTTCTTCCACACTCCTTTTTACTCTAAAATTAGGATCCAGGTTCTTCAGGTTCTCAGGTACATTAAGGAACACAACTCCTAAATCAGGTGAGATCAGATTTTTCATCCAGTCACTGTTGGTAGTAGACCCTTGAGACTGTTCCTCTTCTAGTTCAGCTATCTTTCGCTGAAGCATGCTATTGATTCCTGGCAGATTGTCATCTCCGATGTGAGTGAGCAGAATAGAATCCACCCTGTCCAAGTGCCGGATAAGTTTCCAAAAACAAGATTTTCTTTCAGATCCTCCATTGATAAGCATATTGAATCCATTCACTGCGAACAATGCAGAGTCCCCTCTTCCCCCTGGGAAAATGTAACAGCAGGGTTTGGAGAGCTTCAAGAAACCTCCTGAGGTTGGAGGTTCCAAAATGTCGAAAGGTGATGGCACTTCTACTGATTCTGACAGATACTCTGTGAATTCAGAGAGTCCTTCCATCTCAGGCAATATGGAAGCTGAGTTGAGTTTAATATTAATGAAGTCTTGAAGGTTGTGTCTGTCAAGGTTGGAATTTTTCCAGTCCCCTTCCTCAGGGCAGAAAAGAGTTAGGCTGGCTTTGTTGGCAGGATGTGTGGTGCTCAACAATTCACCAATCTAGGGTTATAAAACAAAAACACAAGAAGATGCACACAAATTTATTTTTTAATGACAATTAATGTCAACAAATGTTTCCTGATCAGACAGATAAAACCTTTTTCATTTGGTTCTGCACTGGTGAGTCTCCATTCTACACGCTAAAGTAAGCTGGTATCACAATTATTTCACTGCCTTATTTTTTTAAAATACAAAGGAGGACCTTTTTTCTGGTCAGTACTGCCTAAAGGACAACAGGATACAAGGTTCCCCCTTCCCTCCTCCATACTTTATAGAAGGATGGTCCTAACTATTACACTGAGAGGGTATGAGGACTGTGGGGATAATGCAGCCTGAGCTGCCGCTGTATGTCTACCATGACATACAGGCTCTCCCAGCTGGTCCAGTCCATCCAGAAGAGACAGCCAAGTATCTAAAGGACAAAGTACAACCTCTTAACAGGCAGAGAGCAACTGCAACACAGAGGAGGCCAGCATCCTCCCCCAGGCAGTTGCCATCCTTTCTGCTTCTCTCATGGGATATATTCCACCACACCACTGTTTGTGCGGGTCTTTTTGTGGCTCCTGAAAAGCCAGTATTGCTCCTGGATTTATCAAGTTTGGCTGCAGGAGAGTTTTTCAGAACAGTGATCATGAGATGGTGGAAGTCAGAATCTTGAAGCAAAGCAGTAAGCAGGACTAGAATCCTGAACTTAGACCTCTTCAAAGAGTACTTGGAGGAATTCCATGGTTTAGGGTTCTGGAAAATATAGGGATCCAAGAGAGTTGGTCAGTATTCAAGCATCCTTCCTTCAAGCTCAAGACCAGTATATTCCCATGAGCAATAAATCAGCCAAAGGAGTCAGGAGACCTGCATGGATAAGCAGGGAGCTTCTAGTAAATCTCAAATGGAAGGAAGAAATTTATGAGATGTGGAAAAAGGCACAGACCACATGGAAGAACTATAGGAACATTGTCAAAATATGCAGGGATGTAACAAGGAAGGTCAAGGCCCACCTAGAATTGAGTTTGGTAAGGGCCATCAAGGACAGCAAGAAGGACTTCTACAAGTACATCAGCCACAAAAGGAAGAATAAGGAAAATATGGGTCACTGATAAATCAGATTGGTCTCCTGGTCATGGAAGACTTAGAGAAGGTGGAATTACTGAATACCTTCTTTGCCTCAGTCTTTATTGAGGCCAGCCCTCAGATCTTGGAGATAAGGGAGGCTGGAGGAAAGGAAGAATTTTCTTGGTTCTAGGGGGTTGCATTAGAATCAGCTGGGCAGACACAACATCCATAAAGCCATGGGTCCTGATGAGATGCACCCACAGGTGCTGAAGTAGCTGGTAGATGTTGCTAAGACACTCTTTGAAAAATCATGGAGAAAAGGAGAGGTGGATGATGACTGATGACTGGAGGAAAGTCAGTGGTCCTCCTCTATTCAAAAATGGGAAAGAAAAAGGATCCAGGAAACTACTGGCCAGTCAGTCTCACTTCCACTCCTCGGAAGGTGATGGAACAGATCATTCTGGAGGTATCACCAAGCAAATAAAAGAAAGAAGGTCATCAGGAGCAGTCAGCAAGGATTCCCCAAGGGAAAATCATGCTGACCAATTTGACAGCCTTCTATGATGGCAGGGCAGGATGGGTCAGTGAGGGGAGAGCAGTGGATGTTGTCTGCCTCCACTTCAGCAAGGCTTTGGACACCATTTTCCATAACATCTTCGTAAGTAAAGCTCAGGAGATGTGGGTTAGATGAACCGACAAAAAGGTGTATCAAGGACTGGCTGAATGGCAGAGCCCAGAGAGTTGTGATCAGCTGAGGAGAATCCAGTCTTATTCAAACTGTTTATCAACAACCTGAATGAAGGAATGGAACGCACCCTGAGCAAGTTTGCTGATGATACCGTGGGGAGCGGCTGATACACCTGAAGGCTGGGCTGCCATTCGGCATGACCTCAAAAGTCTGGAGAACTGAGTGCAGAGGATGAAGTTCAACAAAGGCAATTACAGGGTTCTGTACCTGGGGAGGTATAACCCCAAGTACCAGTAACAGGCTGGGGGCTGAATTGCTGGGAAGCATTCCTGCAGAGAATGACCTGAGAATCCTGGTGGGTGGCAAGTTGACTATTTGCCAGCAAAGTGTCCCCATGGCCAAGATGGTCAATTGTATCCCTAGAGGATACCATTCCTGAAAAGCCAGCACCATTCCTTCCATCAGGAAGAATATAGCCAGCAGGCTGGAGGAGATGATCTCTACTCAGCCTTAGTGAGACCACATCTGGAGTGCTGTTTACAATTCTGGTCTCCATAGACCATGAAAGACAAAGATCTACAGAGGGTCCAGCAGAAGCCACAGAGATGATGAAGGGACTGAAACATCTTTCTTAGGAGGTGAGAACGTGGGAGCTGGGCCTGTTAGTCCAGAGAAGTCTGAGAGGTGTTCTTGTCAATACATATTAACTATCTCAAAGGCAGGTGTCAAGAGGATGGTGCCAGACTCTCTTCAGTGGTGGCCAGTGACAGGACCAGGAGCAATGGCCATAAGCTAAAACACAAGTTCCACTTCAAAGTGAGGAAGAACTTCATTATACTGAGGATGGCAGAACACTGGAACAGGATGCCCAGGGAGGCTGTGAAGTTTGCCTCTCTGGAGATATTCAAAATCCACTTGGACATGTTTCTGTGTCAACTGCTCTGGGTGACCCTGCTCTGGCAGGGGGCTTGAACTGGTAATCTTCAGACATTCCTTCTAACCCCTGTTCTGTGATTCTGTGATTAAGAAACAAGTTAATACTTCAGATATGAAAACAACTGTAAGTTTTTGGGCCCCTCTCTCCAAGGAAGACACTGGGGAGCTTGAGCTTTTCTTTGAGAGAAAGACAACAGAGTTGGTGAAGGGCCTGGAGGGCAAGTCTGACAAGGAGTGGCAGAGTGAGCTGAGGCTGTTTAGCCTGGAAAAAAGGAGGCTCGGGGGATCTCACTGCTCTCTGCAATTGCCTATAAGGAGGGTGTAGCCAGGTGGGGGCTTGGTCTGTTCTCACAAGTTACAAATGACAGAAGGATAAGGAATGGTTTCAAATTGCACCAGAGGAAGTTCAGATTGAGTAAGAGGGAAAATTTCTTCCCCAAATGGGTTGTCAAACACTGAACCAGGCTGCCTAGGGAAGTGGTTGAGTCACCATCCCTGCAGGTATTTAAGATCTGTTGATGGTGCTTGAGGGCAGAGTTTAGTGTTGAATTAGGAAGTGTTGGGTAAGAGATGGACTTGATGATCTTTGAGATTTTTTGCAACCCAAACAATTCTGTGAATTTGTCTTTTCCAATCCTAACAATTCTATGAATCTATGATTCTAAGTTTTGTACTTCTGAGATTCCAAGGTCCAGAGCCAAAGAAAGATCAAGGAAAAGAAACAGGATTAAAAATGCTCATCACTAGTTTGATTTAAAATTCATGGACCACAAAATTTGAAATCTAGAGTAATTCTATTAATTTTGACAGTATTACTTAATATTCTAGTATCAAAACCAACTGCTGCAATAAAGGCACAGAAAATACAACTTTCCATGCCATAGTACAAAGAGCCATTTTTTATTCCAGGGTTCTGAACTAAAAACCAGTATTTGATGGTCCAAGATACATAGACAAACATGAAAAAGTATGACATATTTTACCTTATCTCAGTGTCACAGATACTTTCATTTGACTTTTTTAAACTGACAATTCAGTTAAATGTAGCTTATTTCTGTTCAACTTGCCCTTAAGAAAGAGACCACCAAACTTCTATTAAGAAGTAATTCAGATATAAAATGTCAGTGGAAAATGTGCCAGCATATCATCATGCAAAGTATCATAACCTTCTTTGCAGAGATTCAGTTGTCAGTTCAAGATTTAAACAAGATTTAAGAACATTTTTCTTAATGATGATATAGATAACACTACAGCTGAATAATTGGGAATTCTTGGACCACAAGCTGTATCAACAGAGGAAACTAATCTATGAAACATTAATGATGGTCAGTTGTGTTGGATCTCTTTGGGCCTCTCTGTGTGTAGGTCTCACTTTTTTCTTTGTGTTATGTAACTTATTTTTTAGCATTTACCAAACATAGAACTCAAAAAAGATGCAGTGGCTGTTTTAAAAATACCAGTCCAACCAAGAGATAAATAAAGCCCAAAACAAATATTTTCTACCTTCCTGTATCCTTGTTATTGAATAGCTAAACCATTTGATGGGAGTATAAATAAATCTCACCCATATGTCAGGTATGGCCCTATCTGCATGACAGCAAATAAAAAAACAAAGCAGAAAGAATAAATGGAGAAAAGGCTGAAAAGGCTGAAAAGGATAAGAACAATAAGGGAACCATTACTGTTGTTTATTGCAGAATTAAGAAAAGAGGGGCAGCAAAGATGATGGCTTTGAAATGGATTTAGATTGTCAAAAGTACTCCTTATGGTATGTCTCTGATCAGGGTTGAAAGCACATTATTAGGGAGAGCCAAATGTAATAAAAAAAATCCTTTCCTCTGAATAAATAAATCCAAGTCTGTTGCATGCATAAGGAAATAAAACTGGAGTACAGACGGTTTCTCATAAAGAGCTGATTTTCTGTCTAGATAAAAAAAAACCCCTATATGGTAGCACACTGGGCTAATGAATATACTGTGTCAAGGTTCGGGGTGAGTCCTCTCCAGTTTCCATTATACCATATTTAGTTTTCTGCTTCATACTTCTAAATTCTGACTTTTTTGCTCCTTAAAGTTGGCATGCAGAATACAGATGGTGTTAAGCCACTGGAAGTCCAGGCTAATGAAAAATTAAAGGAAGTTTATTCCAGGCACAGATTTTATCTGTTAAGAATAGCAAATTCAGTCATGCCTCAGGAAAGAAGTATCAATGGATTTGAATTTCAAATGATGACACTAGGGATAAACAGTAACACAAAGATGTAGCCACTCCTCCAAATTCAAAACTGTGTGAGCAAAGAAATATACCTGTAAATCTGAATAAACTTTTTTAAACATTGAGAGACATCTGTTGAGGAATGCTTGAGTTTTAAAGGTGTCACAGCCAGTGAAGACAAATAGGAAGTTGGCTGCCCAGAGAAAATGCGGTTATTACTTCCTGCCCTGAATCACAAAGGTACAAAGAAAGACTTTCCTGTTCTAGCTGTTGTTGCAGAAGCAGGGGAATGGGACATTTCCACCTTCCCACATAAGAAAAATTGAATCCTCTTTCAGGCTTTTCCTGAAGAGAGTTCCTCATGCTAGAGACAGATTTCTGAATTAGACTTTATACAAGTATCTCCTGAAGTGTATTTACTTATTTGCAAGCACTTTCCTTGACCTTAGTTAAGGTTTGGCTCAGTGAAGTAAAAATGGGCAGAGGCCAGAAACACTTACTCCCACCCTACATGGTCCTAGAATGGTAGAATTGTTTAGGTTGCCAAAGACCCTTAAGATCATTGAGTCCAACTGTAAATCTGGCACTGCCAAGTCCACTAGGATCAGGACAGTACAGTAATTCTTTCATCTCATCACCACATAGAAAACCAGCAGCTACTTTTTCTAGACCCTTTTCCTAATTATTTTTTTCAATTTTTAAAAAATGTTTCACACATGAACTGCAGCATGACAACCATGATCTTTCTTTGGTTTTGTGAAAGTTTGCAGACACACTGAGACCCCAGAGCTTCAGAAACAATAGGCTGGAAGCCAGCATTTGCTGAGAGCCATGGCAGCTGGCTGGTGAGCACGCTGCCAGCCACAGAGATGAACCAAATGAGCCTTACTCATAGCCCATGGGAGTGTGTCCTGAACACCCACTACTGCAGCAATCCCACGGCATCTGCAACTCATGGCCAACCCCCCCCTTCCACTTTCCAAGCAATAATTTTGTTTCCTAATGGTAATGGTAGCATTTGCCACTAGTTTTTCATGTAGTCATAAAGTAATTATGTGTCGCTAATTAGGCAGACATAAGGAACTTGAATTTGTCATTTCAAAGAAAAGTAACTCTGAGAAGTGCCAGTGAATTTTAGGTGCCAGGACTGCCTCAGAGAGCAGGAATCCAGCTCTTTCCTCAAACCCTTGCTGAACAAATAGGCTTTGAGAACAGATCACATGGATACAGTAAGGTCAAACTAGAGCTCATGCAAACTATGCTATTTCAGTGCTGAACTTTCAAACCTCAGTCTACTGACATGTTTCTAATTAATTGTGGAAACTAAATTTGTATGGATGCAGCCATACAGTTTATTTAAGTATGTACTTTACATGGCAGCCAAATTAAGTATGACAGCTTGTTTACTATGGATTCCTGCCCTATGGGAGCTTTCAGACACAGTACATTAAGGAAGAGAACAAAGTAACAAGTCATGAAACAAATGCTAAATACTGGTATATCTAATGCTTATCATTTTGGATGTAAAAACCACAAGTTTTACAGATTCACTGGCCATATTTTAGACATTACTATAAAAAAGTTAAGCGGGTAGATGGTGCAAAAAAATACAGTTCTTCTAACAACCACCCTCTGTCTTATTAATGCCACTTGCTAATTAGCCACAGGCAAGAACCTGGTGTCAAGTTCAATTCAACTACTTTATTGCACCTTATATTAATAACCTGTGTATTTTAAACACAGCACTGTCTCCTTCCATTGTTAAGCGTTCCTTGATTTTTTTCTTTTTGAAAGCTGTAATTTAATTTCCCAAATTAATATTTAATTATTTTGTTAGGCAATTTATATTGACTCCAAAGTAAAATAAATGAATGTTTTGCAAGAAAGCCTATAAAAAAGAGTAAAGAGCAGAAGCACCAGGCTGCCTATGGTAACTCTAACAAGACAATTTTAGTCTTCTAGGAATCTCTGCCAGCATGTAACAATGCATGGAAGACATTCTTCTAAACATACCTCTTGATCCGTGAAAATCTCAATGAAGTTCTGGAAGGAGAAGGACCCTGACTGAAGAATGAGCTCTCCTGTGTTTTCAAAGCACTGGCCAGTTAGAACAAGGAGCTTGTGCCTTGCAGCATCTGTGATCATTAAGCGCACCTTGAGTGAAGAAGAGAAATACATCAATAATGGGAGTGACCACATGTTTCAATAGTCCACTGAGAACACACACTTTATCTCTCCTAATTTACAACCAGTCTTTGGAACAGGACTCTCAAAACTCTCAAAAGACAATGAGAAGGGGAAAACATGAAAAAAAAGGAGGGGCACAATGCAGTTACAAGATCTGAAGAATAAAACAAATTAATGACATGGAAAAAAACAGCAAGGAGCAGAACAGAATACAACTTGAATGAAGAAATAATTATTTTAGCAACAACCTTATTCATAGTATAGTTCTTGGCATACTTTTATGGAATTGTATCAGGACAACCTTGGTAAACTATTTAAGAGCACATGCTTGTTGCTTTACTTGACCCTCACTACAGCTACTAGTTGTTCTTGCTTACCACTCCCAAGGGAGAGATTTATGTGCATGCTAAGAGAATGCCATATATTCTAAACTTAGGAACAAAACTAACAAAACCTGTGTAAGATTCTATACTGTTGAGTAAATGATTTGCAAATACTTCAAAAGTCTTACCAAACACTGAAATACCAATTCAGTCTATGGTAAGCTATGAATTTCAAGTACACTAATTCCTCTATTAAGGAAGAATGAAATCAAACCAGAACAGTGATTTCAGAACAAGGCTATCCACATATTAAACTAATGGAGTAAATGAGCAGAGTCCACCTGGGACAGCTCCACATGATAATGCACCAAGCTCCATCTCCATGGAGATGACACAATCAACTCAGCTCTCCTAGCAAGATATTCTTTTCAAGGTTTATATTGATTGTTAAGCAATCAATTTTTCTAAATAACCCTTGTGAATGCCGGGAGGCCGAGCCAGGGAGGCTTAATTTGAATCTCTGCTGAACAGCTCACGTTTCCAGTACAACGAGAAAACACACACTGGAGAGTATGTATCTCAAAGAAGATCCCAACTCTATCATGTCTTCACTGTTATTTTATCAAATAATGACCCTAATACTGAGAAGAAGAAAGTTCCTTTAACTAAATGTAGGACTAATGCTGGTCTGCCACTAATTGCACTAAATAATTACATATTCAGAAATATCATGTATGGATTGAATGTATCTATTTCTATTTCAGACAAAATATAGATAAATGCAAACATTTGTCTGACGTGCATTACTCAAATCTTTCACTCTATTAAAACGGTATCAGAACTGGCTTCCTCTTCTGAGTTTTCTTTTGTTGCTGCCAGCAGTGCTTATCAGTCCGACAACTTTTGTGTAAACTCATCACGTTTTCCAACAGCAAAACTACTTCCTGACTTGTGAATCACTGATATTTGACTGTCATATAATTCCCCTTCTATTTTATTAATTGACAATAAAGCACATTCTGCAGAGTTAGCAAACTATGCCAAGAAAGTAAGTAAATAAATATTTGCAGATCACAGATCATAATGTGTACACATGGAAGACCATAAAAGACTCATAAATTCTGTGTATTGGTACAAATAAGTTTTTTTGAAGGATGACCAGAAATTTGTCTCCTGATTTCAAGACCACTTAATTTTAGAAGAAATTCTGCAAGGTGATGATTCCATTCAGTTTAACTGCTGGGTAAAGTTCAAAACTTGCTGAAGGAAGTGCACAGCAAGATGTAGGCTCAGTCAAAACAGAGATTAAGATGGAGTGTGAACAGAGACCAGCACATCAGCAGAGCAGTTGTTTCCCATGATATGGTACATACGATATGGTACAGTCACAGGAACATTAAAGCAATGAGTGGGAACTTCCTAAAAAGGAAGTAAATGTTCATCAGGGTTTTCTTCAGGAAATAACACTCTCTCTTTGGGCCTCTTTCTTATGGGAGGTGTTTGGCATTTGATAGGACATGACAGGAGCTTTGGCCACCATCATGTGTGGACTACCACCAGGTAAGGCTATTATCAGCCAGGTTACCAGGTATATTGTATTTCTTTCTAATTTGTTTTTGTTTGCTTGTTTGGCTTGGTTTTCTTTTTTATGCTGTTGTTTTACTTTTGTTTGTTTTTTGTTTCTTTGTGTGTTTTGTTTTTTTCCTGAGTGAATAGATTCCAGTTCCTCTTCTGGTGAAGTCAGAGCTTCATGGTATACGTATATCTCTGCCTCCCCTAGATCCACCCTGGAAATCTCTGGTATATGAAATTAAGTTCTATTTGCCATAGTGAACAGACAATGTCTGCTCCAACCTCTGATTTAATTCTGCCACCTCTTTTTGGTGGTCTCTTTCTGAATTGTGCCTATTCAGAGCCTTGCTTAGCCAGCCAAGTTAAAGCTCATCTGTCTGACTGGGACCAGTTTGGCAGGATGAAAGCAAAGATCACCTCCCACAGTTTTTTGAGATGAAATTTATGGTAACATAGCCAAACATCTTCCAGAGCCAGCTCAGTAAGCCCAGGGTTCAGAAATCATTAATGGGTGTCACATCGTGTTCTTCCATGTAGTCATCCATCAAAGGAAGGACAAGCAGCAATAATAGAAATAGTATTTCCCAGCTTTTGGCAGTTTTTCATCTCTTCCACCCCTTCACACATGCACACACTTGATGGCTTTTTACTTAGAATGAATGCATAGAGTTGCTACCCTGGTGACCCCCTTGTCCTTACCAAGCACCTCTAATGCCTTGTAAGAGATTTTCACGCACTGTATTTTAGTAAGTTCCCACTGACTAAGGTGGCTTTTAAACTTCTACAGGTTCAGAAATTCTGTTTGTTTTGGAGTACTTTCTTCTGTTTGTGTTCAACATCATTTAACAACTGACAGCAAAATAGTTTTTTCACCAGTGACCACCAGCAGAACTGCTTTATCTCCCAAAAGAAATTAGACTCTGGCAGTGCTTCCCAGCACAGACCAGCAATGCAATTATCCCTATTATTTCAACCTTCTCATTAGCTAAATAAATTAATTTTGTCTTTGAGCTACACAATCAGTTCTTTGATTCTGCAGAGTTCATAAGGAATTGGCAGTCCTCTTATGGGCACTCTCCAGGGTTCACTAATCATGCCACATGCTTGTTGAAGGACAGACAGATCAACCGAGTCACCACCACAGAGCTGGTAATTCTCTCAGACCCAAATTTGTCCCTGGGCACCTTCAGACATTTTCTTCATATGTAAAATAGGCACCTAGAGCTACCAAACAATGGCAAAGCAAACGAAAATCTTAACCACAGCTGCCTCCACTCCATCAAGAAGAGAATTTCATGCATTATGAGTAATGAAACACTGGGATCAGAGGCATGTTTCTGTCCCATGCTTCTGACAATTTGTTAGGAGTCTGGGAAACCAGGGAAAAGATCAAGGGATGGGTGACATTATTCATAATATTTATTCCAAATATACCCTTTCATTCGCAGTCAGGACCTGCTCTAATCATCTGCTAAGACTTTGAAAAATAGTATTTTCTGAGTTTGTCAGCCTCTAAGCTGGCAGGCAATGACTGATGCTCCATAATCACCTCAGCTACATCTGCCTCAGTGCCCTCATCATGCCTATTTAGTGCAGCTTTCATGAAATGTTCAACAAAGTATTTCTTACTTACCTCAGTACTAACTGCTTCATCTGAGGGATTGATGAGGACTACAGTTTCTAAGACATCACTTCTGTGGTGAAGAATCTTCTGACCTGCAAGTGCAGAGAGGAAAAAAGAAAAAATAAATTCAACCATCATAGGATAGACCAGGATGTTCCAAGAGTTTGCTGTATCACAGCCCTCCGGCTGACCTGTCTGAAGGAGTATCCATAACTCACATTGTTTCACAGAGCTGGTGCTGGTAAGGGAGTAACCATCATCAGCTGAGCATCTGGCCCTGACATATCAAGTGGAAACTAGAACCCACGCTGCCAAAATGCTCCCTTTAGCCTTCCACTGGCATTGATTAACTTTGGGACACTGCAAAAAGTTCCCTATGGGGATGGTTAGACATTTGCCATGCTGCCCTACTTTATCTCACTCCTGCTTACAAAAGCTGTAGCAAGCAAAGTCAAGCAACAGGAGTGACAGAGCACACAAATAACATCTAGATCCTGAATTAGTAAAGTCTGGGCAAGTCTGGAGCAGCCTCACAGCCTACTGGCTTTCATACTTACTCTGTCTCTGTATTTAATAGTGATATTCATCTGACTGGGAGTGAATGCCAGAAAAACAAAATAGGACTGTTGATTTTTTCCCCCCCTTATGTTAATTGGCAAGTTCTTATCAGGGTCTCTTTCTGTGAGAATTGCAGTGAGATTAATTAGCGCTGGATTGTCATTCAGAAATCCAGACTAGTAATTAGTCAAAAAACCAGAAGAGCTGTCCCTTCTGAGCAAACTGATTGGCGCAGTATTAATCAATTAAAATAATTAATTAGGCTTAAAAGGGAGTACGGGACACAGACCTATTTGCCAACTTAGAAAACCTCCCCTGTAAAAAGACATAATTTAACAAGGCTGAGGACAGTCAGGCTGAAAGGAGCTCCACATGCCTGAGAGCGTCGTGTGAGAGAAAGGGCAGCCAGCCATTCCCAAAGTGTCCCTGGCTGGGGCGGGCTCGGTGCTGCCCTACCTGCCCCAGCGATGTCCTCTTCCTTCCTCACTGACCTGCCTGCACCAGTCCTGTCTTCTTCCTCCTCCTTGACCCCTGAGCTCCCATTGCGCTGCATCTGTCACTGTTGCTCTGGGGAATATCTACATTTATAAGCATGTGAGCATAAAACCAAATGATGGAAAGTGATGGAGAAGGAAAGTAGTGCTCTGAAGTAAAATATGAGATAGGGTTGTAATCTATTCTCTTGTGCATGACAGTGCCTAGACACTTAGGGATAAATATCTACTTAGTTTGAAGAAACCTAGTTTTTTTTAAACATATATTCTTTCTGCTATACTTCCTTGAAAGAGGGATACAAATTTTATATTACAAAAGTTGTGATATTACCTTTTGCAATTCAATTTATTTTTAAAGTTTTGCTTCCTTGCCTATCAGAAATGCACATATAAAGCTACAGTCAATAAAACATCCGGATGGTTCTGTTACCACATACTCCTTCAGAAGATGCTCTGTGCTCTGATATTTTATTTGTTTGTCAAATTTCCCTTAAATTAAGAGATTAGGTGGAGTTTATTGAATCTTATCATTAAGGAAATGAAAGGAACCCTTTAGCAGACACTGAAATTTCTTGCTTAATAGTTGGTGAGCACATACATTGCTTCAGGCTAGACTAAGCCTCATATATCATCAGCCATGAACACATTAAACACAGGTAGAAAAGAAATGCAATTAGCCACACGCAAATTTAGACAAAAATCCACAGCTTTAATTGGGCTCAAAGCACATACTTTGGACTTAACTGAAGCTGCTCCAAGTGGTGTGTCTGTGTAGCTAGGAATGATTTTACCTGAGGAGTCACAGATCCTGCAGACCAGCCCCAGCGGTGGTTACTTACATCCTACCAGACACCCTGCTCTAGTGCTTGTGCAGGTTCATAGGCCCTGAGACTGATCTCCAGAGGCAGGCAAGCTGTCTGCACCATGTGCATGGTGCCCACTCAAAGATGCACGTGTGACTTTCTCCCTCTTCAGCTCCTTGAGATAAACATGTTACTGATTACCATACAGGTTACTGATTACCACCTGGCACTGACAGGGTGTGAGTCACTATGAGAGCTCCCATCCCAGGAACATCTGGGAAGTTTCCAGATACTTGCTGATGTCAGCAACATGATCCCATGTCACTACTTGACAAATAGGAAAGACTTTGAAAAACTATTTGCAATTTTGTAAGAGTAATGCAGACTCACTGCCCAGATTGATATCCTGAAATGCTCAGCTGAAATGAGGGTAAGTCTCCCATGGGAATAGTTTTATCAGACAGAAATGAACTATCACAGTGTGGGAGCAGAAAGCAGCAACAGCACCTCATAAACTGGCAAAAGACTATGACTTACTAAATTACAGATGAGAGTGGGAGAACCTGAGACTTGTGTACATCTGGGGTTGCTTTACTGGATTTCTGCAGCCACTCTCTACACATGACAGATCATTTCTGTGATTTGACAGGAGAAGAAAGGAAGAAACTTCCACATTGCATGGAAATGCTCAGGTAGATAGATTTTACCTGCTTGTAGTTGCTAGGAAGCAAGTCAAAACCCCTTCTAAAGACTTTAATATATAAATATTATTTGTGTTTGGAAGAAATCCAAGCATCTGCCTATCTTTTGACTTTATTAATTAAAGCTTCAAATTAAAAACTGATATGAGCAAAGAGTCTGGCAGCTGTTTGATTCAGAACAAGAACAGAGAGAAGTAAATAGCATGTGAAATTTGCTTAAAATTGCACTCATCAACCCAGTTTCTACAGCCATAGGATCCTAATGCCCCCCTACTCATCCAAATATCAATGACATCTATTCAAGATGGGGATGGTGTTATTATTGAGATGGGGATGGGGTGTTAGTCACTTTTCCTAGAAAAGTGACAGAACAGTTTTCTTAACTTACACAGTCATTTTTTTCAGGTCAATAAAGCAGCATGAACATGAGGGGCATTTTTAACAGTAACTATGTAAATTTGTGCAAATGAATGGCAAATGAAAGAAATCAAGTCCTCATTCAAGATTTGTTTAACCAAGCATCACTGCTGACATGCTTTTTCCTGAGCATACCTGCACAACTCAGCCCCATGGTTGTGCCTGCTGTAACAGGCTACTCAATACAGGGGTGTCCAGCAGCTTCTCCTGTCACTCCAGGTAGAAATCAACATTCACTTACTCCTCATCAATACAATTCCTGCACAAAGTAAACACAGAGGAAGCAGGCAAATCCTTCCTGTGGTCATTCTTGGCAGAAGGGGTGAAAGGAGTATTCTCCCTGCAAGTGTGTGCCTTCTCCCTGAAAATGGTAACCTGATCTGGCATTCAAACACATTTCTCTGGCAACTTTAAGCATCTCTCATTTTTCATTGTAAAGAACTTCAAAGTCTCGTTTCACTGCCAGAAGACATGACTGGCTGTGTTACATCAGCCACCGTGCTGGGTGGTATTAACAGATGGCACAGCCTGCAAGGCTGGCTAATGGAGCTTCCCACGCCATGAATATGCAGTGACCTCTCTGCAGCTAGGAACCTGCAGTGCTCTGCATTGTAAGGAGCTTCAATGCACAGGTCCCCCCAGCTGCCCCTGGTCTTGTGGAGGAATTCCCAGACATTGAGGGGAGAAATTCTCCAAAATGAACCATAAAACATCCATCCCTAAAATTCTAAGGGAAGCTTAGCCTCTTGAAAGACAGTATTGGAGCTTGTCAGCCACTGTGCTAGGAAGCAATAACTGATGTTCAAGAATGATCTCAGTTACAATGTGTTTCAGATTTACCATGTCTAATGAAGGTTTTTGGAAGGTTATCATATCCCTTGCACAGTAATCTAATAACTCATACAATTAAGGTAACTTCAAACTGCTCACTATTTCATCTGCTATTTCTAGTCTGGACTTTAAATTTGTCCTCCAAAACCAGATGTGTTAATGCTGGGCTCTTTGTGCTTGTTCTATATTAGCAACAGAGTACTCAGAGTCTGGACAACTGGTCATCTGATGGTTACTATATATTGCATTAACAAATCTATTCTCCTCTGTTTTCAATGCAAAGATCAATGGGTACAAATTGTCAAATAATACTGTAATTGTGACCAGCCCCAAATATCCTGTCTGCCTGGAGGCACTACATTGCAACAACAATTTCAGACCATAGAGAAAGAAACAAGATACCCTTTTATAGCAGACTATCAACTATCTGAAGAAATCTTGCATAAATGATATGGAACACTCTGTCTTCTTCACCGTCTTTTTTGAGAAAGGGATACCAAAGCATGCTAAGCTTCCTGCTGAACTAAACTGCAAGCTGGAGAAATAGGTAAGTGTCCAGCACTGAGCAAGGTAGTGATTTTACAGAGTCACCAAAGCAAATTCTGATTCTGTAAAACTCCGGAGTTCTGTATCTGCAAGTAAGAAGCCAATTATTTGCAGGCCTGATGAAGAAATAGCTATCTAATATCCAGGCACTGGACTACAAGAAAAAGACTTCAGAAAGCTCCTTCCAGAAAAGGTCTGAAAGCCCTGCAGGTGATGCCAAGGACTGTGGAGGGCAATCATTCAGTCTTGTAATGAGCTGACACAATGGGGCATGCATAACACAGGCATAACTTCATTTATGTCAGAGAAGAAGGATTCACTGCCTCCAGGGCTCAATTCAGCCCAATGGCTTCTTAAATTTAGGCTGTCTTCAAGGAAGGTATAATATTTTTTTTCCAGCTATAACTCCTATATATGTACAAACATCAGAATATTTTACACATTTCTAGGTGAAAATAAAATCCTGCTAGGATGTGAGCTGATGTGACAGCTATGAACAAATCTAATAATGAGTTAAAATTGCTGAACACTCTGATTGAGGAAAAGATTTGGAAAAATAACACTAACTACAAATGTGACTATTTTCCTTGCCATCATTTAAACCTGCTTGCTCTGATGGACATGATGGTAGGTTCAGATTTATATCTAATGTTACACGGTTTTTATAGGGAATTATGTGTTATCTCTGCAAAGTTAGGTTAATCTTTCTTGCATCTGATCAGCTGGAATATTGAACTGTGTT